CAGAAACGTTCGACCATTGACCCTAGTGCACTGGAGAAGGATATGGTATCGCAATGTTGGTAGGATGCGTGTCTACAGACGGAGAAATGAACGCTACACTCGACACTGTCATGAAGTCGACCGATACCGCGGTAGAAGTGTCATGATGTGGGCAGGCATATCCGTGAATGGTAGGACAGATCTGATGCTCGTGCAGGGAAATGTAGCTGCTGTACGCTACCGTGATGAAATCCTTCAATGTCACCTTATTCCCGCCATTGTCAGAAGATTGATTTTCCAGCAAGACAACGCAAGACCGCATACTGCACGTGTGACCATGGATTATCTTGCCCACAACAATGTTACTGTGCTGCCATGACCCTCCAAATCGCCTGATCTAAACCCCATTGAATATTTGTGGGATCTGTTAGACAGACGTGTACGACGCCGACAGCCTCAAACACAGACGCTTCAACAGCTGAACCATGCATTGCAGGATGAGTGGAAAAGGATTCCACAACGCCAGATTCGACGACTCATACAGTCCATGCCCAGGCGGTGCAGAGCTGTGATCGATTCTCGTGGTGGTAACACCCGGCTCTGAATTTGGCACAGTGCCATCAATGACATAGACGCACCTTAGAACATTAAAAGACTGTTTGTACTGTAAAAAAACATGTGCCTCATCCTGTGTAAAATGTGGTTGTTGTATCTTCATTATTTATTTGTAATCCTGTTTCATTGAACATGTAATGAAACACTGATTATTCTGTTATGCGTTTCTTTTGGGCCAGTGTATTTGCATAACACAGATCTAGTAATTCCCATGTATTACCTCTAATGCCCAGTTCATGTCGGTTGAACAATTCTTCTTCGTGCAATAGTCTTTCAAATGTTTTTTTCATTATTTAAGAAAGCAGCTTATACTGCAGGTTGCCTTTGTATGTAGTACTGCATGTACTGAAGAAAATACTGACTAGTTCCATGTTCTACGTAAACCAAACTGTAAAATATCAGGAAAGTCTTGATAAAACCTACACATTTTGTCTTCTTTACTTTTGAACAGTTCAAATGTTCGTACAGAGACATGATGATAGAGTAATACCTCTATACATTCGTGAATCAAATTTCTCATATTGCTATAATCATGCCAAGTCTAAGGTCATAGGGTACATGTTGTAGTTCTACATAAAGAATCAATAATATGTTCATCTGTAATCTTATCCAGACCTGGAGGTTTACTTTTGCTCAGGGATTTGACGGCCTCTCTAATATCTTGAGATGTTCCTTATGTAGTGATTAGCAGGGGTTTTTAGTGTCCGTTGATATATTTTCGAAATGTGTATTTTAAAATTAAAAAAAAAAAAATATATGTATATTTTTAGCTAATGGTGTGTGCACGTGTAAAAACTGTATGTTGAGGTCAACTTAAGAATATCTTCAACACCTTATATTACATAGTGTTTTGAAATGTTTCACCAGATGAAAACGTTCATTGTTTACATACCATATTCAATTCCACACAGTATTGCACATAACATTTATCTATGTTACACGTATATGACGGGTGCATGGACGATTTAAAACCAATTCGCGTCTGGCTTTCATGGCACGTATAGTCTGGAAGTTAATTGGAGGTACCGACGTTTACTAAGATATCTGAAAAAAACTATAAGACCTACTCCAGTCAAAGTTGGTATGATATTATTAAACGGTCATACATAACTGGATATTACATTGAAAGACAATCGGTGCATGAATAAAAAATATGTCTATTTAGCTATCATTATATTTCATCAACAACCAGACCTGTTCGTCACGGGGGGAACGATCATTCATTGTAACAGCCATCTGCATAATGCTACCCTGCGTCACAAGGCCAAATGACACAGTTGAACCAATCAACTCAACTCGAAAGGTTGCACGGGAATCACGCCCGCACGAATACGGTGTTAGCTTTGGGCGTCTCAAGCAGTTATTTAATAATATTCATCCAATTATTTTTGGATTCTTTTTCAGGTCAGTGTTATTGACCTGAATGTATCATTCCTTGCCACATTATCATATTTCATGCACATCAGGTTATTAGGTGTAATACATCATACGTAATTAATCATTTAGACACAACATTGCTTTATTGTTCCGAAGAGATATTTTAATATTTTTGTAGATGATTCGGGACTTTCGGGGCTGTTTCGGGTGAACGAGAATCAAATTCTGAGCCAAGAATTGCACAAAGTGGACAAGATCCGATTAAGACAAGTATTACAAACCATTAATTTTACCTATTGTTTCCTGAGTAAACTATTATCTAAACAACATTAGCTTACCTCTAGCTTAAATGTGTGGTCCTGGGTGTATAATGTCCATGTCAAAGTAACCCAGACATTACAGGCATACAACTATTATTTTGTGTTGTGTGGCACCAGATGTTGTTATCAACTAGATTCATGTTGTAAACATCTATTGTTGTAGAAATATAAAGCGCCTATGCTAGAGAATAACTATTTCGATTTTCAAACAGATTCCATTTGGCGTAATAGGTAATCAAACTATCTAAATGGATTGCTGAAATTCAATGATGATGCCAGGTGTTCGCACAAAGGGTAAGCCTTTGCCGCAGATGAAGTTATGATGAAACCGTAAGCTCTTAGAATTCTTGATTGCAGGCTGGGACCTTGTCAATATATCATGTGTAAATTGTATGGACATGTAGAATGCATTTACATAAATTATTGAACGGTTTCTACACACAAAGTAATTTTAATTGGGGACTTTAATGCCCGCACATATAATCTATGCGAGTACGAAATTCTTCAAGAATACATAATTGAAGCATTTCATTTGAATATTGATGAAATCAGATCAGAACTTGGGTTGCCACGCATGAGAGCAGGACAAAACACAGGACAAAACAAGAATAAATAACTTAAGCTTTAAACCTATTAAAATTAGTAAAAAAAATAAAATATGTTTATTGGTAATGGCAGGCTAGGAAATGATAAAATGATAGGTAAAACTGCTTGTAAAGATAAAGGTGTCTGACTCTAATATAATTGACTACTAGCCTCTCTATTCAGACGTGCACTGCCCAATCACTCTTGCACCGCCCACTCACCCGTGCACTGCCCACTCATCTGTGCACCGCCCACTCACCCGTGCACTGCCCACTCACCCTTGCACTGCCTACTCACCCATACACTGCCCACTCACCCGTGCACTGCTTTTTACGGCAAGCATGGGTTGGTGAAGACCTATTCTTTCCCGGATCTTCACACGTCAATTAATAAACTGTGCGGCAAAAGAAAGTATAGGTCGAGATCCATGAAAAAAATAACAAGAAGAGGTTTTGTTGTGAATTATAACATTATCTAGGGAGGGGTAACACATGATTGATCAACCACAGTTTGAATGGAATTGTGCAATCACAAGTAATGTAAGCTCAAGGTAAACAATGGTGGGGTAAGACATTTCATTTTCAAAAGTTGTCTGAAATGTCACCAAATAATTGTCAGACACACCACAAGCTCATTGATAACACAGTTGCCTTCAATAGCGTGTATGACCTCCGGCTGCCTCAATGCACGCTGTGATACGCCGCCTCATCGATGACGTGGACTGGAAGCCGTTGCCACTCGTCTCTCAGGTCCTGCTGCAATTCTTGTCTGTTGACGGGAGGCTGATAGCGTGCTCTAATCTGTCTGTCAAGATGGTCCCACAGATGTTCAATAGGATTCATATCGGGTGAGTGGGAAGGCCAGGGCAAAACGTCAACGTTCTGCTGGTTTAGAAAGTTCCGAGTCAGTCTTGCAGTATGGGGCCTGGCATTGTCGTGTTGAAACAATGTCCCCTGCTGTTGGTTTTGTAAGAACGGAAGCACAACTGGCTGCAACACTTTGTCTCTGTACTGCACAGCGGTTTCCCTGTGTAATCACCAAATCCGTCTTCTGATCTCCACAAATACCGCCCCACACCATGACACCTCCCCCGCCGAATGTAGACCTCTCGAATACACGCCAGAGCCAAACGTTGCCCTCTGCGTCGATAAACTCGTTCACTGCCGTCATTTCGAAACAAGTTAAACCGACTTTCATCAGTTAACAGCACTAGACGCCAATTTCTCACTTGCCAGCGTCGAACCTGCCTCGCCCATCGCTGTCTCAGGCGTCGATGTTGAGCAGTCAGTACCATACCAAAGACGATACGCTCGGATTCCAGCAGCACGAAGTCGTCATAGTACTGTACGTTGGCTAATGGGATGTCCCAACGCTGTTGCTGCCGTCGTCGTCGCCGTTACCAATCTGTTTCGCAGGTTAATGAGCCGTATCTGACCGTCTTCCAGTGGTGTTGTCACTCGGGGTCGTCCTGTTCTAGGCCTGTCCTGTGTCCTCCCTGTCTGCCTGTACCATTGAATCAGCCTGGCTACTGTCAATGGTGTACAACCAAACCTTCTGGAAATTTTGACCTCTGTTGCCCCCCATTTCGGCCATACTGATGACACTCCCTCTGTTCCTGTGGCAGTCGTGGCATTTCCTTTGTGTGCTTTCATCACGTGTGGTTATACCCTGCAGACGAACGCATTTATACAGCTTACATGCACGTTCAGTTTATGCCTTAGGCGTTTCACCATTTTTTTGGCACCGCGCGAGCGCCGTCAAAGGTGGCGCGTTCGGGTGAGGTTTTTTTTTTTGTACCTGTTCCTGGGCAGTCATATTCCCAATACCCACTTTCCACTAGTTATCGCTGTTATGAAAATTACAAATTGCCAACCTATACTTTCTTTTGCCGCTTAGTGTATTTCATTACAACGTAACAAAGGTATATAACCATCATTGAACAAATCGAAAATAACTGATAACCATGATTACCTGTGTTCTGTTTACAATTTCATAAAGATGTCTGCCATTAGACAGCTGATTCCCTACAGCCTACAGTGCATATGTATATTTTACTAAATCATCTCGTGATACAATATTTACTACGAAACAAATTAATAAGTTATTATTATGTTTATTATACAGACACAAGAGTTGCAAAACTACTTCTGGAGGACAACAATAGACGAGACTGACCATGACTCTACTTTCCTGGATGGCCGACCCAAATCAACACCCGGATTTATCAACGTGAGGGAATTATTGAAAATAAAACATTTAATACACTTTTGTTTCAAAAATACAACTATTTGAATTTTTCACTCATTTATCTCCCTATCAAATTTGCTTCTATTTTTAGAATACTCAAACTTAATTGCAATGTAGCCTATTGGCCTTACCTGTAACATACAATGTCTAATTTAGGAGATTAGAAAGTGAGTGAGTGAGTATAGTTTTTCGCCGTTTTTAGCAATATTCCAGCAATATCACGGCGGGGGACACTAGAAATGGGCTTCACACATTGTACCCATGTCGGGAATTAACCCGGGTTTTTGGCTTGACGTTCGAACGCTTTAATCACTTGGCTTTTCGACCACCCCAGATTAGAAAGGACAGCCTAGTTAGAATACCTTCCTATTTATACCTTATTAACAGCAAGATTTAAAAATAATGTTTGCCTACCCGATAAACGGTATGTTTCTTTCCGTTTAGAATTGCTGACACAACATGAGATAACTTATAAGTTTAAAACAATTCCTAAAAGGCCAATCCAGCCAGCTGGGGTCCAATCCAGCCAGCTGAGGGCCAATGCAGCAAGCTGAGGTCCAGTAGTTTGTCCAGGGACAATACAGCCAGCCGACGGACAACACAGCCAGCCGAGGGGCAATACAGCCAGCCGACGGACAACACAGCCAGCCGAGGGGCAATATGGCCAGTCGAGGGGCAATACAGCCAGCCGAGGGGCAATATGGCCAGCCGAGGGGCAATACGGCCAGCCTAGGGGCAATACGGCCAGCCGAGGGGCAACACAGCCAGCCGAGGAACAATACAGCCAGCCGAGGAACAATACAGCCAGCCAAGGGACAATACAGCCACACTAGGAACAATACAGCCAGCTGAGGAACAATGCAGCCAGCCGAGGGGCAATACAGCCAGCCGAGGGACAATACAGCCAGACGAGGAACAATACAGCCAGCCGAGGGGCAATACAGCCAGCCGAGGGGCAATACAGCCAGCCGAGGAACAATACAGCCAGCCGACGGACAACACAGCCAGCCGAGGGACAATACAGCCAGCCGAGGAACAATACAGCCAGCCGACGGACAACACAGCCAGCCGAGGGGCAATACAGCCAGCCGAGGGGCAATACAGCCAGCCGAGGGAAAATACAGCCAGACGAGGGACAATACAGCCAGCCGACAATACGTAGATAATGAAAGCAAGCAGTTTATTGGCATCACACACAGAACGGTATGCACGTACATGTGGCAAAACGAAGAACATTTTTCTATAACACAGGGTACAATTTTATATTCCAGCTTATTCTCGAAGGATATATTTTGGAAATATGAAAATATACTTTGAATTTGAGGAATTGTGAGTGGGCCACATTTACTGTACATAGATTGATTCTAGCTATTTATCTTTAAATGACGGTCTCGTTGCCTTGATTTGGATGCATTTGGCCGATCCTCTTGAGCGAATGTTAAATGATGCATTTTTTAGTGGGAAAACATATCCATTCCTATCTTTATATACGTGAAGGATCCGCTGATTCAAGCGAGTAGACTAACATCAATGACGTATTCCAGATAAGAATCACCTTGAGGTCAGATAGATATTATTATTGCTGGGAATATTCAAGGTATGATAGTTTGGAAAGTCTTGGAATGAAAGCATTTTTCCAATGTTATACATAGAGGTAAATGGAATTTTCGGAGTGTACAGTTGTATGGCAGAAGTACATATCAGTGAAAGAGTGACTCCACCCCTTCAGGCGGACAGGCTCTTCATTTGGTTTATAAAGAGTTGAGAGGGGAGGTCTTGGAAGTGTGTTACAGTCTGGAGTGGTGCAGCAATAATGGCAGTCAATACTGGCATTACTTCCAGTTTGTTTATGCATGCATCTCCCCTCGTCTGAAGTCTGGTGGTACCATCGTCTAAAGCAGGTTTGCGCGACAGCCTATCATCAATTCAAACTATACTGAACAAAAATTCCTGTGACATTGAATAAGATTTAATTCAAATTTGTTGTTTAAACCAAATCTGAAACAAGTTCGGTTTGCAACAGATAAAAGACTCATGTGAGTGTTCAAATGGTTTAATTTGCCATACTGATAATGCCTGATTTCATAAAAAAACAAAATCATGAACATGCCAAAATGTCAATTAACAAAACAATAGCATGCGTGTCCACCTCTGGTTCCGATGCACGCACCAGGGGAGGACGTGTATATGCTGTAGCTGTTATACATCAGGTGTGGAGACTGACAGGAAATAACAAGGATGTGCACCAGTAGTGGATGTGTATATTCTGTAGCTGTTATACATCAGGTGTGGAGACTGACAGGGAATAACAAGGATGTGCACCAGTTGTGGATGTGTATATTCTGTAGCTGTTATACATCAGGTGTGGAGACTGACAGGGAATAACAAGGATGTGCACCAGTAGTGGATGTGTATGTTCTGTAGCTGTTATACATCAGGTGTGGAGACTGACAGGGAATAACAAGGATGTGCACCAGTAGTGGATGTGTATAATCTGTAGCTGTTATACATCAGGTGTGGAGACTGACAGGGAATAACAAGGATGTGCACCAGTAGTGGATGTGTATATTCTGTAGCTGTTATACATCAGGTGTAGAGACTGACAGGGAATAACAAGGATGTGCACCAGTAGTGGATGTGTATGTTCTGTAGCTGTTATACATCAGGTGTGGAGACTGACAGGGAATAACAAGGATGTGCACCAGTAGTGGATGTGTATGTTCTGCAGCTGTTATACATCAGGTGTGGGGACTGACAGGGAATAACAAGGATGTGCACCAGTAGTGGATGTGTATGTTCTGTAGCTGTTATACATCAGGTGCTGATACTGACAGGGAATAACAAGGATGTGCACCAGTAGTGGATGTGTATGTTCTGCAGCTGTTATACATCAGGTGTGGAGACTGACAGGGAATAACAAGGATGTGCACCAGTACTGGATGTGTATATTCTGTAGCTGTTATACATCAGGTGTGGAGACTGACAGGGAATAACAAAGATGTGCACCAGTAGTGGATGTGTATGTTCTGTAGCTGTTATACATCAGGTGCTGATACTGACAGGGAATAACAAGGATGTGCACCAGTAGTGGATGTGTATGTTCTGTAGCTGTTATACATCAGGTGTTGAGACTGACAGGGAATAACAAGGATGTGCACCAGTAGTGGATGTGCATGTTCTGTAGCTGTTATACATCAGGTGTTGAGACTGACAGGGAATAACAAGGATGTGCACCAGTAGTGGATGTGTATATTCTGTAGCTGTTATACATCAGGTGCTGAGACTGACGGGAATAACAAGGATGTGCACCAGTAGTGGATGTGTATGTTCTGTAGCTGTTATACATCAGGTGTTGAGACTGACAGGGAATAACAAGGTTGTGCACCAGTAGTGGATGTGTATGTTCTGTAGCTGTTATACATCACGTGTTGAGACTGACAGGAAATAACAAGGATGTGCACCAGTAGTGGATGTGTATGTTCTGCAGCTGTTATACATCAGGTGTGGGGACTGACAGGGAATAACAAGGATGTGCACCAGTTGTGGATGTGCATGTTCTGTAGCTGTTATACATCAGGTGTGGAGACTGACGGGGAATAACAAGGATGTGCACCAGTAGTGGATGTGTATGTTCTGTAGCTGTTATACATCAGGCGTGGAGACCGACAGGGAATAACAAGGATGTGCACCAGTAGTGGATGTGTATATTCTGTAGCTGTTATACATCAGGTGTGGAGACTGACAGGGAATAACAAGGATGTGCACCAGTAGTGGATGTGTATATTCTGTAGCTGTTATACATCAGGTGTGGAGACTGACAGGGAATAACAAGGATATGCACCAGTAGTGGATGTGTATATTCTGTAGCTGTTATACATCAGGTGTGGAGACTGACAGGGAATAACAAGGATGTGCACCAGTACTGGATGTGTATATTCTGTAGCTGTTATACATCAGGTGTGGAGACTGACAGGGAATAACAAGGATGTGCACCAGTAATGGATGTGTATATTCTGTAGCTGTTATACATCAGGTGTGGAGACTGACAGGGAATAACAAGGATGTGCACCAGTACTGGATGTGTATATTCTGTAGCTGTTATACATCAGGTGCTGAGACTGACAGGGAATAACAAGGATGTGCACCAGTAGTGGATGTGTATGTTCTGTATCTGTTATACATCAGGTGCTGAGACTGACAGGAAATAACAAGGATGTGCACCAGTAGTGGATGTGTATGTTCTGTAGCTGTTATACATCAGGTGCTGAGACTGACAGGGAATAACTAGCATGTGCGCCAGTAGTGGATGTGTATGTTCTGCAGCTGTTATACATCAGGTGTTGAGACTGACGGGAATAACAAGGATGTGCACCAGTAGTTGATGTGTATGTTCTGTAGCTGTTATACATCAGGGGTTGAGACTGACAGGGAATAACAAGGATCTGTACCAGTAGTGGATGTGTATGTTCAGCAGCTGTTATACATCACGTGTTGAGACAGACGGGGAATAACAAGGATGTGCACCAGTAGTGGATGTGTATGTTCTGTAGCTGTTATACATCAGGTGCTGAGACTGACAGGGAATAACAAGGATGTGCACCAGTAGTGGATGTGTATGTTCTGCAGCTGTTATACATCAGGTGTTGAGACTGACAGGAAATAACAAGGATGTACACCAGTAGTGGATGTGTATGTTCTGTAGCTGTTATACATCAGGTGCTGAGACTGACAGGGGATAACAAGCAGGTGCACCAGTAGTGGATGTGTATGTTCTGTAGCTGTTATACATCAGGGGTTGAGACCCACAGGGAATAACAAGGATCTGTACCAGTAGTGGATGTGTATGTTCTGTAGCTGTTATACATCAGGTGCTGAGACTGACAGGGAATAACAAGGGTGTGCACCAGTAGTGGATGTGTATGTTCTGTAGCTGTTATACATCAGGGGTTGAGACCCACAGGGAATAACAAGGATGTGAACCAGTAGTGGATGTGTATGTTCTGTAGCTGTTATACATCAGGTGCTGAGACTGACAGGGAATAACAAGGGTGTGCACCAGTAGTGGATGTGTATGTTCTGTAGCTGTTATACATCAGGTGTTGAGACTGACAGGGTATAACAAGGTTTTGCACCAGTCGTGGATGTGTATGTTCTGTAGCTGTTATACATCAGGTGTTGAGACTGACAGGAAATAACAAGGATGTGCACCAGTAGTGGATGTGTATGTTCTGTAGCTGTTATACATCAGGTGCTGAGACTGACAGAGAATAACAATGTTGTGCACCAGTCGTGGATGTGTATGTTCTGTAGCTGTTATACATCAGGTGTTGAGACTGACAGGAAATAACAAGGATGTGCACCAGTAGTGGATGTGTATGTTCTGTAGCTGTTATACATCAGGTGCTGAGACTGACAGGGGATAACAAGCAGGTGCGCCAGTAGTGGATTTGTATGTTCTGCAGCTGTTATACATCAGGTGTTGAGACTGACGGGGAATAACAAGGATGTGCACCAGTAGTGGATGTGTATGTTCTTTAGCTGTTATACATCAGGTGTTGAGACTGACGGGAATAACAAGGATGTGCACCAGTCGTGGATGTGTATGTTCTGCAGCTGTTATACATCAGGTGTTGAGACTGACGGGAATAACAAGGATGTGCACCAGTAGTGGATGTGTATGTTCTGTAGCTGTTATACATCAGGGGTTGAGACTGACAGGGAATAACAAGCAGGTGCGCCAGTAGTGGATGAGTATGTTCTGTAGCTGTTATACATCAGGTGTGGAGACTGACAGGGAATAACAAGGATGTGCACCAGTAGTGGATGTGTATGTTCTGTAGCTGTTATACATCAGGTGCTGAGACTGGCAGGGAATAACAATGTTGTGCACCAGTCGTGGATGTGTATGTTCTGTAGCTGTTATACATCAGGTGTTGAGACTGACAGGAAATAACAAGGATGTGCACCAGTAGTGGATGTGTATGTTCTGTAGCTGTTATACATCAGGTGCTGAGACTGACAGGGGATAACAAGCAGGTGCGCCAGTAGTGGATTTGTATGTTCTGCAGCTGTTATACATCAGGTGTTGAGACTGACGGGGAATAACAAGGATGTGCACCAGTAGTGGATGTGTATGTTCTTTAGCTGTTATACATCAGGTGT